ATATTGGTCTGTTTAAGTTGTGAGTATCCTCCTGACTCAGTCTGGGCAAATCATATGACTTAAGGAATTTATCGATGTCTTCACTATCTTCTATTTTATTGGAATATAGGTTTTCAAAATAATTTCTAATTGTCTTCTGTATTTCTGTAGTGTCTGTTGTGATATTGCCTTTTTCATCCCGTATGTTAGTGATTTGAGTTCTCTCTCTTCTTCTCTTCGTTAGCATGGCTAAGGGTCTGTCGATCTTATTTATTTTTTCAAAGAACCAACTTTTAGTTTTGTTAATTTTTTCAATAGTTTCTTTTGTTTCAATTTCGTTGATTTCCGCTCTGATTTTAATTATTTCTTGCCTTCTGCTACATTTGCTGTTGTTTTGCTCTTCCTTTTCTAGGGCTTTGACATGAAGTGTGAGCTCATTTATTTGTTGGTTTTTCCTTTTTTTGAGGAATGACCTCCAAGCGATGAATTTCCCTCTTAAAACTGCTTTCATTGTGTCCCATAGATTCCGATATGTTGTGTCTGTATTTTCATTTATCTCTAAGAATTTTTTGATTTCTTCCTTTATGTCTTCTGTAACCCATTGATCATTCAGTAACATATTGTTCATTTTCCATGTGATGTAGGATTTTTCCTTCCTTCTTTTATCATTGATTTCCAGTTTCATTCTATCATGATCAGATAAAATGTATGGGATTATCTCCACCCCTGTATATTTACTGAGGGTTGCCCTATGGCATAATATATGGTCTATTTTTGAGAAGGATCATGTGCTGCTGAGAAAAAAGTATATCCACTTGATGATGGTTGATATATTCTATACATGTCAGTTAAGTCTAGGTTGTTGATTGTGATATTGAGTTCTATAGTTTCTTTATTCAACTTTTGTTTGGAGGATCTGTCAAATGGTGAGAGAGGTGTGTTAAAGTCACCCATAATTATTGTGTTGTGGTCTATTTGATTCTTGAACTTGAGGAGAATTTGTTTTATGAACGTCACAGCACCATTATTTGGTGCATAAATATTGATAATTGTTATGTCTTGTTGGTGAATGGTTCCTTTTAACAGTATATAATGTCCTTCCTTATCCCTTTTGATTAACTTATCAGAGTAATGTTGTCATCATAGAAAGATGGTGAAGTATTTTCTCCCTTTCCATTTTATGAAAGAGTTTGTGTAGGACATAATATCGTCCTGAAATGTGTCATGGATTTGCCAGAGAAACCATTTGAACTGAAAGTTTTCTTGGTGGGAAGGTTTCTAATTATGCATTTAATTTCTTTAATAGGTATGGACAATGCAGACTATCTATTTTTCTTGAGGGAGTTTTGGTGTTTTGAGGTATCTATCCATCTCATTTTAGTTGTTAATTTGTTAGCGTAAAGTTGCTCACAGTATTCCCTTATGGTAGTTTATAGACTCTTGATAGAATGTCCACAGAATCTGATGTGTTGTCATCACTCTCATTCCTGATATTGCTGATTTGTGTCTTCCTTTTATTTCCCTGATTAATCTGGATAGTCTTCTCAATTTTATTGAACTTTTAAAGAATCAGCTTTTGGCTTCATGGATTTCTCTTCTGTTGCTATATTTTCTACTTAATTAATTTCAGTTCTAAGCTTTTTAACTTCCTTTCTTCTACTTTCTTTTAAGTTTTTCTTTTTTTTATAGTTTCCTAGGGTGGAAGCTGAAGCCCCTTTCTTTTCACATATAGTTATTTACTGCTCTAAGTATTGCTTTAGTGACATCACACAAATTTTGAGATGCTATTTTAAATCCATGCAGTGTATTTTGAATTTCCCTTTAGGATTCTCTACTTACTGCTATTTAGAAGTATGCTATTTATCTTCCAAATACTTGGGGCTTTCTAGAATTCTTTTTGTTACTGATTTCTAACTGAATTAGATTCTGGTTGGTCAATATACTTTGTATTACTTAATTCCTTTTATATTTATTGAGATTTATTTTAAAGCCTAGAATATGGCATATTTTGATAAATATCCCATCAATATTCTTGCAAAGAATGTTAATTTTGCCATTGTTGGTATTCTGTACATGTTAATTATATCAAGTTGGTTAATACTTCTGTTTAAATCTTGTATGTTACACTGATTTTCTGTTTATCAGTTTTTAAGACAGAGCTATTGAAATCTCTGATTATAACTTGTGTTAATTTAAATCAAGGAAAAGAAAGGCTGGTTCAGTTCACCAATCTCTACCAGTGTTTGCATGTGGGTGACAGTGTTGCTTTCATGAGTAATTCGAGTCTTCTTAAAATTTGGTTCCCTTTCAACCTTTCTTTATATATATATATATATATATATATATATATATATATATATATAAAATTTTTAATGTAATACTATTTATTTAACTTTAAAAACATTTCAGCATTCTAAACATACAAAAAATAACTTTGCAAACTGTATTTAAGTACAGAAGGTTCTTGAACTTTCACTGATGCAGTGGCTCTTTTTTGCTGACAATGAAGAGTTCTACAGTTTGTTTGAAAACAAAATTTAAAATTGTACTAAAAAAAATTCAAATACTTCTCATGCCAGCTGACTCCCTTTTCCCCACAACTAAGAAAGGCAGCAGAATGCTGTATCACTATATACCAAAATAATACAACCTGAAGCTAAATGGATGCCTACCACAGTGTCAACAGGTCCAGCCTCACAGTGCACGCCCTAAGCTATAGCCCCTTCAAAAGGCATCTTCCCCCACAGTCTCAATACCAAGCAAGGAGCATCAAGAGTTTGTCTTGGTTGGTTTGTTCTTTTTTACAGACTATAGATATGTACAGTTGAAAACTGAGGATTTCTAGCCAATAACCATATAGTTAATAGCACCTTACAAATTAAAAAAGAAATGCCAGAACATCTTCAAATGCCTTGTCACACCAACAGCAAAGAGCACAGAGTGAGGAGAACGTGAGAGTGCTTTTTGATCTTAAAAATGTTTGCAAATATGTACAACTTTGATATAGTGTCAGGGTGTTCTGGACACCCAGGCCAATTCATGTAAACCACTGACAATTTCTAGAGCACTTAGAGAGATTACAATAGGATCATGACCAAATTCTATAACTGAAACTAACACAGACACATCTCAAATAAGATGTGTCAATCGTGGTGTTGTCCTACTCTAAAGTATTCACCAGAAGATGGGGATAAACAGTTTTTAATTCATCCTCCTTCTCCTCCTCTTCTTCCACTTGCTCTTCTTCTTCTTCCTCTTCTACCTTTTTCTGGGCAACTTTTGCTGGACACTTTGTGCCATCAAACTTTCTTTTGGACTTACAGTTAGCAACATCCTTTTCATATTTTTCTCCTTCAGCTTTGAGCCTTAGGGAAGTATGGCTGCTTTTTGCTGTCACTTAAGTTATTCCACAACTTATCCAGCTTTTTTTTTTGCCACATCTCCAACAGAGGAGATACCAGGATTTGTGGACTTGATCACTGGGCAGAATTCTAAACAGAACAGGAAGAATCCAGACAGTGGTCTTTTGGGAGCTTTAGGGTCCTCTTTTTTCTTGCCTCCTTTAGCTGGTCCATAATCCTTCATTTCTCAATCATAGCATACTTTATCTACCTTTGCCATTTCATCAAATTTAGATTTCTCTTTCCCAGACATTGTCTTCCATTTCTCAGAGCACTTCTTGGAAAATCTTGCAAAATTGAAAGGACTTCTGGATTTTTCTTCTTATGTTCTTCTCTGCCAGTCTGCACAAAGAAGCAGACATCTTGGCCTTTTGTTTCTTGGGGTCACCTTCAGCCATCCTGACTGTATTATTCAGGAGTCTGGGCAGTGTAGGGCATGATACGCGGCTCAGGTCTCCCCAGCCTTGTGCTAGCTGCCTCCACCTATATTTATTTATAATATTACATATGTATGTGTGGATTTATTCCCATGTAAAATTCCATGTAAAATTCTGGAGATAACACTATTGGGTAGTGGTATAGTATTGGTGGTCAAGCTTCAATTCCATAACAATGCATTCCTGAAAATACTGAACAAATACACAGAGAGACATAGATGGTTAAATTTTGAAATCATAAACTGGAGACATGATTTAGGAATCACCTACATTATAATGTACACCCAGACCCACTTGAATCAAATTGTGAAATATGATATATCAAGAACTATGTAATGTTTTGAACAGCCAACAATAAAAAATTAAAAAAAAAATAATGTACACCCAGGATCCAAGAGAATGGTAAGTTCAGGTACCAACATTTTTTGATAAAATACATTCTTGTTTTCTGCTTTGTACTGCACAGCTGACAGATAACTAAGAAATGACTGAAAGGTGAATCTGTTGTTTGTATGCACATTTGTACTTCAAGATCTAAATAAAATACAAAATATGGCTGGGGATGTGGCTTAGTGGTTGAGTGCCCCTGAGTTCAATCTTCAGTACACCCCCCAAAAATACATCTAAGTTTTAATCTTTAGAATATCTATTTTAAAAATTTAGTTTGAATACTAAATTGATAGACTTTAAACTTCATGCATCTGTTTAAATCAGATCAGAGAGGTTTCATGAGTGTTACTGTTTATAGATTGTTAAAGATCCCTTGGGCAAAGTCAAGGCTGTTGCATGTGGACAGTTTTTTGAATTATAGCGCAGAAGTTTTAATGCATACCTCAGGAATGATAGGGGTCTTAAATAGGCAGTCATATTTACTAAAGAAACCTGGAGTTTTCTTAGATTGCCAACCTTAGCAAGACAAGAAATGTCAGGGTGACAGAGTTTAAGTGGCTCTTTTCAGATATATCACGCTGATTCTCTATATTTAAGAAGCGAAACAGCCTTCCAGGAGCTATTTAATTAAGTGAAAGTAAGTCTAGTCCCCATTGGAAGTGAATGGTTCAGTGAACAAACACATATCAGCCATGAGGAAGTAGGGAGTTATTATGTGCTTCATAGACACAGTGACACTTTATAACCCCATATCAGGGATCCTAAACAGTGATTGGTTGAGAAAATTATCAAACTGAGTTTAAATTTCGGCAGGTACAAAATTGTCATGCAAAACTCCAGGACAGCGTGCCACTCTCAGTCTTCAAAGAGAACGATAAGAAAACCTGGATTTTCAAAGTCCCTTTGAAGGCTCATAAGGTAAGACAGAACGCCCTCTTTACTCAGAACCAACTACATAAGTAAAAAGTTCTTTTTTTTTTTCTAGAAAGAACTATGAATTTCAGTGAAGACAACTAGATTGTAAGAAGTGAAAATCCTTTTTTGATTAGATTTTCCTTCCATTTTTTACATGTCATATTGAGTATATATTAAAAGACAATAGAAAATTTTGTGGTAAGGGATGTTAATTCCATCCAATAAGATATCACATCACTGAAAAATAGGACTTTTTTCTGTACAGTCAGTATGTTGTTAAAATATAAGTTGCTTATCAGAAAAAGTGAACATCAGGTGCAATACATGTTTAAAGCCCAAAATACTAAAACAAAGTGATTAGAATGTTTTGTGCATATTTCACTAAGTTTCCATTACTGTTATTTTTATCCAAAAAAAGAATCAATTTCAAGAATCTAAGTCTAGTCAGTCATTTTTCATTCTCCGTAATGCAATGTAAGATGTAATGGGATTTCATGAAAAAACGAACATCGCAATTTCTGCTTCTTTTAAAACACTAACAATAGTAACATTAATACACTGACTTTTACAAAGAAATAAACATGTACTGGGGAATTTGATTTAATACATTATGCTACATGTACTTCAGTCTGGCTGAGCCACACATGAAGGGCTCATCCAGAGCTCAGTATCTGTCCTGTATTGGGTCTTCAGAAGTTTGTTGTCCGACTACATAAGTAAACCCCAGTTTACTTTTAATATCTTGCCCCTGTAAAATTGAATTTTGGCCTGGGAAATTATTATTATTATTTTTAAAAATTTGATGTTTGAAAAGCAAGATTGAAGCACTTTGACTTAGGATATCTAGAGATTTGACTTCTGTCACACACATTTTCTATTTCAAGAATTTCTACAGGTTGAGAAAAAAAAAGATGTTACTGAAAAATTGGCAAAAACTGAGGTGGAAATTTGATAATTATTGGGTCATTTGATTGGTTTTAATAAAATATCAGATAACTCAAGTTTTAGAAATCTTCACTAGGCTTTAATACATTATTTTATTATTTACTTGACCAAATTAATTGGCTAATTGCTAAATCTCATTTCACATGTAACAATAAACTCAATAATTTGAAGGGAGGCTTCATAGTGCTGAAACCTCAGCTTCAGGCAGATGATACTTAGAATATTTCTATAGCAGACTTTGAAGTCATTTACCTGCTTTGGCAAATAGTGACAAGCATCACTGTGTTATCCTCTGGAGAAGAGCTCAAAGAGAGTTTACGTGGTAGAATTGCTGGATTGCAGTTTAGAAAGGAGGTACGTACAACACCCGCCTTTGTCACAAGTACCTTTCTGGGACACAGTGGCTCCTCCAAGTCCTGGTGTAGACTGGTCTTCTGCAGAGTCTGTGTAATAATTAGGTTTGGGATGCAAAGGACAGCATAACCCTTGCCAACTAAACAGCTAGCTTCCAATATTTCCACCCTACAACCCTGTATTTCACTTGTCCTGGGGTCACATCAGCCTTAGTCCATAGCATTTCTGAAGGAGGTTTAGCTATTCTTGACTCTTTGATGAACAGCTGTAAGATTGAAGCATGTGTTCTGTCAGTAGGTCTAAAACTTTGTCTTTTCTCCTGTGAGGAAATTACAATAATTCTTCTTAACATATTTGTTGAAGTTTAATTATATTTCCACTACTACCACTAAATTACATTATTTGTTTTTATAACATATAACATTACAATCTTTAAAGCCAGTGAGAGTTCATGAAACAGAAGGAAAAATAAATCCTTTCCTTTTAATAAACATAGTATCATGATATCAAGAAATCCAACTTTTCATAAATAGAAACTTACATTTTTGATTCACATGGATTATACAATGTCTGTTTCAATGTATAAAAATTTGTGTTAGTCCATTTCTGAATTTGAATTCTGACTTCTTTTAGAAGTCCCATGTAATAATTCCTATCTTTTATTAGGAGGTTGCAAAATGCCTGGAACAGTGCTAAGTATTGTTAACACTAAGTATTTATTCATTAGCAACACTGATAAGATGCCTTCCAGTGTACTTTGCATCGGAAGACAACCATCACCAAGACACTCCTTGACCTTAGGAGCTTATAGTAGCATAGAGGAAAATAGAAATAACCTGGCAATTTTAGAATTGTGCAGTGTGTTGTGGGTGAGGTATACAGAAACCACTGGGTATAAAAAGTAACACAAATTCTCTTTGAAATGGAGTCAGAGAAGTCTTCTCAGAGACAATCCTTTGCTAACCCGGTTATACTCCTGAGGTGTAGTATTATCACTATCCCAGACAGAGGAACTGAAGACTTAATAAAGCTTTTTAACTGCCTCAAGCTCACACAGCCACTAGTAGAGGTAAAATTTGAACTAGGTCTCAGAATTCAAACTCCATGTTCTTTTCATTAACTGAGCTCCCTCAAGTCAATCATTTCTTTCTCCTGTCGTCTGGTATAACACAATTCTAGAGATTTAGGGTGGGGATTACAAATGCTTCCTTTTTAAAGCACAATCTTAGCAGAGTTAGTTAACACTTGATTAAATCTATTCAGAACAGAGAGTAAGAGAGAGACAGAGAGAGAGAGAGAGAGGGAGGGAGGGAGGGAGAGAGAGAGAGAGAGAGAATGAGAGAGAGAGAGAGAGAGAGAGAGAGAGAGAGAGAGAGAGAATGAGAGAGAGTCCATGCTCGCTACCATTAAGAACAGTGGAAGGGCAAAATTATGGCTATGCCCTCTCTCTATCCACGGATGTTGTCCTTTATTGGCACAGGCAGAAAAAGCCTCAGAAGCTACATCAGTGCTGAGCTTGATGACACCTGACATAGCTCCATAAACATACCAAGTATATCTGCAATATCATAAATCTCATGTTGGATATGTACTCCTTTCCCAGGGAAAAGGGCAAATGTTGCAGATCAAAATAATATATTACTGTAGCTATTATCTTTTGCCTTATAAGTGATTTTGTGCTGTTCTTTTTTTTTAACAGCCATTGATTATTATTCCTAAGGACAATGAAGATAATTATATTTATTTGCATTTGGGCAGCAGCATGGGCCATTCCAGTAAGTTTTTCTTCCTTGGAAAACTTCCTTGCTTTGCTAAATCTTTTAGTCCAACAAAACACACCTAAAGTTTTGCAGATAAATGGAGTTCAAACATTGAGATTTGCATTACACATGGAGTTTCACTCAGCTATAAAGAACAACAAAATCATGCATTTGCTGGTAAATGGATGGAAATGGAGATCATGAAAGTGAACTAAGTTAGACTCAGAAAGTCAGGGCTGTATGTTTTCTCTCACATACAAAAGCTACAGCAAAATAAGGGTGGGCATATGGGGGAAGGAAGGATCCCATGAAAATAGAAGGGAGATCAGTGGAGTGGAGGAAGATGATTGAGGGGAAGGGATGGGAGATGGAAAAGAGAACTGAGGAATGAAATTGACCAAAATATGCTATGTAGATACAAGAATATATACCACAGTGAATTCCGTCTTTATGTATATTCACAAAGCACCAATTAAAACAAATAAAAGGAAGGAAAACCAATAGAATAGGGAAATGGGAATAGGGTAAAAGAGAAAGAGAGGGAAAATGGAAGTACTGGGAATTGAAATGAAACAAATTCTATCCCATAAATGTATGAATATGTAAAAATGAACCCTACTACTATGTACAACTAAAATACCCTAATAAAAATTAAGAACTGTTTTTCTTAGGGTACATTTTATGTTATATATAAAATAAAGCATTTATTAATTTTTTTAAAAAAAGACTTTATATGATAACCCATTTGTAATTGTATTAACCAGATTTCAGGCTTAACATTTTCATATGCTTTCATGAGACCAAGCATTTTGTGGTATTTCTGTAGTTGAGAATTCCCCCAAGTGTTTTAAGTATATTCTTGAAGAGCCCAGAAGTATCAGTTACTTGATTTTGGTTCAGCACTGACTCTGACCACACCCATTATTCTCTTAGGAGATTTGCCCAGGATTATACTTGGGGTGGGTTCTGTGCTACTGCAAGAGGCTTGTTCAGAAACAAAAGGGTCTACCTCCTTGTTTTTCTACAGTCAAGATAAGTAGTCTGGCTAATAATTCAACAAAATTGGTAATACCATAATGAAAAATATCTACATGCCAAATTAAAAATTGTGCGTAAGCCCAGCAACAAGCTACTTCTTTTTCTTAGATCATTTATTTACCTTTGTATTATATTTTCACTGAGGGAAAAATGTTCGTGTGTGAGGTGCTATACATAAAATAAGATTCTTTAAATATCCCGTGTTTTCACTTTGGCAGCTTCCTCAAACCAAACCATTGGAGAGACACACTGTTGAAAAATCTGTGAATTTACATCTTCTAGCAAAACAAAAAGTGCCAGTACAGGTATGGGATATGAAATGTGTTTCCCATTATTTCTATTTCTAAGATATTTTTGAATTTCATTAACTTCCTACAATTTTTCACCCTTCTTTTCAGCTGCTTTGCTTCAAGATGAGACCTATAATGTATTTTGAATTTTTTCTCCTTTTCAGAATGAGTTAAGTGCCAATGACACCACTAAAGAAAGTGGTGAATCCCTTCATGCAAATGAGTTAGGAAGGCAACAGTACACCAAGGATGGTTATGAAGGAAAAGGGAATGGTTCTGAGTGGAAAGAAGTAGGAGGGAAGAGTTCTACACAGTCTGTTTTAGCCAGCCAAGAGGGGAATATTGAGGAAGAAAATGGAGTCACAGGAAAACCAGAAACATATGGTCATGATGCGATTCATGGAGAAGACGATAACAGTACAGCAAATGGCATCAGGGGACAAGTAGGCATCACCGACAATGCTGAAGCAGGAAATGAGAGTGATATTAATGGCAGTGCTGATCAGAATACAACAAATGAGGATGACGGAGACACAAGCCAAAATGAGGGTGTTACTGTTTTCCAAGAAAATGGACCTCAAGTAGTTGGAAGCAATAATAATACAGACCATGACAATAAAATAAATGGGAATGAGGGTGATACAAGTGCAGTAACACCCCAAAGAGAAGGTGAGGGAAATGGGGATAAGGAGGTTGAGGTAACACCAGGCAATGAAGAAGATGCTGGCTTGGATAATTCTGATGGGAGTCCTAGTGGAGATGGTACAGATGAGGATGATGACATGGGTTCTGGTGACAATGATGGTGGAGAACCAGGGAATGGAAACAAGGGCAGTGATAACAGCAAGGACCATACGGGTCAGTCTCATGGCAAAGGAGATGACAGTAGCATAGGTCAGAATTCAACTAGTGGTGAAGATGATGACTCTGAAGACAAAGAGGATTCCCATAATGGAACTGGTGGAGACAACACCTCCAATAGTGAAGAAGACTCTGATGGTATTCCAGAAGGCAATGGTAGCCAAGGAATAGAGGACACCCAGAAACCCAGCCACAGAGAAAGCAAAGGTGTGGAAAATGGAATTACCAGACAACCAGAACAAAGTGCTATTGGGAAGAGCCAACTTAAGGTTAGTTTTTAATCCAATTTCTTTTGATGTAAGTTTCATTTTTCCCTGGCACCTTCTGAGGGTAGCACAAAAATCATAAGTATCCAGGTAATTTTAACCTACATTATTTGACTAAGAAGAAAGCTGGAGTTCCTATTGGACTATGATATAGAAAATTTTAGGAGTCAGACTTTCTAGAAAGTTCCTTTTAGGTAAGAATAAAAGAGTATAAATGTGGATGGGTTGCTAAGCAATCTGAACACAAGAGTACTTTCAAGTACAAAATAAAGTATGTTTTCACAAATAACTGTTTGGGAAGAACTGAAAGTTGGAATCCTATTCCTGTGGTCACTTTTCTCATACAGTCCTCCTCCAACCAATGCAACTTTGCAGCAAATATTCACTAATCAATCATTCTTTTCTTCATTGTTCCACAGGGAATAGAAACCAACAGAACTAATATTACCAAAGAAGCTGGGAAAATCAATGAAAGTAAAGATAGTAAAGGACAACATGGAATGAATGTGAGCTCAGGAAATGCCAAAACACAAGGAGAGGTTGACAACATACAAGGACCTGGCCAGAAATCAGAACCTGGAAATAAAGCCAGGCACAGTAAAACAGGTAGTGGTAGCAATAGTGATGGATATGACAGTTATGATTTTGATGATGAATCCATGCAAGGAGACGACCCCAACAGCAGTGATGAGTCTAATGGAAGCGAGGATGCTAATTCAGATGGCAACAATGACAGCAGTAATGGAGGAGACGCTTCTTATAACTCTGATGAATCAAATGATAATGCCAATGGCAGTGACTCAAATGGAGAAGACGATGATGAGGGCAGTGATGGTGCATCAGATACTGATGACAGTGACAGTCACGGTGATGATAGTAACAATGAGAGTGAAGACAATGATGAATCAGAAAGCAGTGAAGATAAATCAGAAAGCAAGGACAGTGGTGAAAGCAAATCAGAGAGCAGTGACAACAGTGATAGCAGTGACAGCAGTGATAGTAGTGATAGCAGTGACAGCAGTGACAGTAGTGACAGCAGTGACAGTAGTGATAGTAGTGATAGCAGTGACAGCAGTGATAGCAGTGACAGTAGTGACAGCAGTGATAGTAGTGACAGTAGTGACAGCAGTGATAGTAGTGACAGCAGTGACAGTAGTGACAGCAGTGATAGTAGTGACAGCAGCGACAGCAGTGACAGCAGTGATAGTAGTGACAGCAGTGACAGTAGCGACAGCAGTGATAGCAGTGATAGCAGTGACAGCAGTGACAGCAGTGACAGTAGCGATAGCAGTGATAGTAGTGATAGCAGTGACAGCAGTGATAGCAGTGATAGTAGTGACAGCAGCGATAGCAGTGATAGTAGTGATAGTAGTGACAGCAGTGATAGCAGTGATAACAGTGACAGCAGTGATAGTAGTGATAGCAGTGACAGCAGCGATAGCAGTGATAGTAGTGACAGCAGCAATAGCAGTGACAGCAGCGATAGCAGCGACAGCAGTGATAGTAGTGACAGTGACAGCAAATCAGACAGCAGTGACAGCAGTGATAGTGACAGCAAATCAGATAGTAGTGACAGCAGTGATAGCAAATCAAACAGTCATAGTAGTGACAGTAGTAACAGCAGTGATAGCAGTGACAGCAGTGACAGTAGTGATAGCAGTGACAGCAGTGATAGCAGTGACAGTAGTGACAGCAGTGATAGTAGCGACAGCAGCGACAGCAGTGACAGCAGTGACAGCAGCGACAGCAGTGACAGCAGCGACAGCAGTGACAGCAGCGACAGCAGTGACAGCAGTGATAGCAGTGACGGCAGTGATAGTAGCGACAGCAGTGACAGCAGCAATAGCAGTGACAGCAGTGACAGCAGCGAGAGCAGTGATAGCAGTGACAGCAGTGATAGCAGTGACAGCAGTGACAGTAGTGACAGCAGTGATAGCAGTGACAGCAGTGACAGTAGTGACAGCAGTGATAGTGACAGCAGTGACAGTGGAGATAGCAAATCTGACAGCAGTGATGAGAGTGACAGCCAGAGCAAGTCTGGTAATGGCAATAATGGAAGTGACAGTGACAGTGAGAGTGACAGTGAAGGCAGTGATAGTAACCACTCAACCAGTGATGATTAGAACAAAGAAAATCCAATGAGTTTTTCTTTGTGTGTGAAAATTTGATAATTAATCAATAGGAAATAGATTCCCAATAAAATAAAATAGATAAATAAACAATGCATGTAAACATCCATAGAAACAACTAGGGGAATCAAGTCAAATTGTTGGATTTGGAATTCAGTCCCAATTCCCTTAGAGAGAGAATCTGAATGTATGACCTTGGGTACATGCATGTTAAAAGATATTCATGTTCTGAAAATATTTTGTTAAAAGTGTAAATGTAAACATACAGGAATAATTAAAATGTTCTTTAATATTTTACACAGACACCTCAAGCAATCACTTAGACATGATATCTTCAATTATAATGCCAGCTGCTTTAGAGGATGTAGTAAGTAAACTCTTCTTACACATAATCTGTGGCACTACCTTAATCCTGTAGCAGTCATGGAGAGTCTGCTTACTGTGGAGTAAAAAAAAAAATGCTGTTCTGTGACATCCTATGCAAATACTGATTGATTTGCTTGTTCTATGGAAGATATACATTTGCAACCTGAAGAAAATATCATAGCAACTCTTTAATCTTTCCAGGATTTGGGAACAAACTTTCAATTGTCTTCACATCAGTCTCACCAAGTGAAACCTGGCTCACATTTCCCTTTTAAATGTCAACATTCCAAAACTTCCAGACTAGACCCTGAGACTGCCTTTCCACTGTGAATCTCTTTAATAAAAGTTGCTGGTGGGCAATATTTTGGAAAACTTCTCTTTCTTATTTGAGAGAGTCTCATATGCAGTTAAGACCTGAGCTTAGGTCATTCAGCTTTTCCAAGTATAAGGATAATTAGTTTTGAGATGAAGCCCAAACCCTAGAAAACAAGGATCATAAAGATGAATGAAAATAGAGAGTGATCTTTAACAGGGTGGAGATGTAATTATCATCCATACTTAGAGTACTTTTGAAAATGAAAAGGGTGCTTTGAATAATTACATGGGGACAGGAAGTGTAAATTCGGATTGTCCTAGGGAAACTAAAGAACACTATGACTTGAGGGTATTTTTCGAGAATTGGTAATGATGCTTTGTAATTTCTCTTTTTTCTCCACTTAGGCCATTATTTTAGATTTGTTCTAATTTAAAGGTAAAACTATATTGTGAAGTTATGGTTGCAATTTCTCTAACAGTAATTTTTAAACCAGTCTTTAGTTGACAATTTATGTTCTAATGTTAGGCACATTTTACACAAACAGTTTCAGAGTGTTTCTTTTTCCTGCCTCATTCCTCCTTTATGCAAGAGTTTTTAAGAGTTAAAAATTGTAAGGAATATTGCTAAAAGCTTAAAAAATGCTGCTATTTGTAAACTACTTTGTGACTCTTAATATTGTAAAATGTCAGATTTCTGTTATATCACAGCCATGTAATGACTCCAAACCTTTTACCTTAAAATATGCTCTAGGTTTTTCATTCTGTTAAACTATAGAATTTTTTGTTTGCTTGTTTTGTTTTTATTTGTAAAGTTCTGCTTCTAGTACCTGTCACACTTATTTCAAATGGTTGTCATGAGCCCTAAATCAACAATGGATGTGGAACTCTTTGTAAACTGTACAAGATATGTAAATGAAAGAGATAATTTCAGTGTTATAATAAACATCTATTTATTCAATTGCTCATAAGGAAAACTCTTTTCACCCTAATGAATTTGCAAATATTTGGCGTCCACATCACAAAATCTGTTTTATAATATCACACTTTTTAAATAGTTATCTACTTTTGGTTGGAAAAGTAACACATGTATATATACAAAATAACAATTTTAAATACTATGTAAAATATAAAAATTTGATCTTGATCATTTTAGACTTCTAGTCCTCTATTTCTCTTCCCTAGTGTCAATTTCTGTTACTAATATATTGTAGAACTTTCCACAAATATTGCATTCACATAAAAGCACATATATTTCCCTTTTAAAAACATATGGAAGTCTACTACATACAAAGTACTCATCTCACTCTTTTTAGCTGAGCAACCTACCCTGAATATTGGTTCAAAGTACACAGGTCAACCTCATTTTTCTTCACAGCTATGTTTTATTTCATTTTATGAAATGTCCTAAGATATTTAATTTGTGTTTACTGTTCCATCATTTCCTAAGCCACTTCTGGCCCCAAGAGAGTCTGTGGATATCACCTGAGATAAGAGTCTGAGAACAAATTTCTAACCAGTTCCTGTAAAGACTTCACCTTTAGAAGTATTTCCAAGGAGTAGATGTTCAGGATTTAGGGCTGATGTCAGAAATCATGAAGGAGCACTATGATCCTGATTCTCTCATATAATTACATCTGCAATTGGCTTCTGGACCTTTGAGACCGGTGAGGAGCAAACACTTTCCATAGGAATGTCTCAAAAGTAGATTCTCTAAGCCTAAGAGGTCTGCTATTAGGAAAAATTATTCTTGAGTTATTTTCTGGAATAAAGATTAATAGGCCTTCTCCTAATATCACTCATGACAGCAGAATTTTTTAAACTGCTGGTTGCCAATCCGTTAGTAGCTCATTATACCAACTTAGTGAGTTATGACATTTTAAAAAAGGAAAAAACAAAAGAAAATCAGTGCATCATAGGTAGTATGCTATGAAATTTGATGATTTCTATCTCTTTATACATATACAAATATGTCAGAGTATGCAGATACTGGGACATGATGTAAAATGTCTTCCTTGCTTTTGGTTGTAGTTAAATGAGTTTGAAAGCCATTGGTTTAGGAAAGCATTATTGCTAGCAGTCTTTTCATGTTTACTTTCCCCATTCATGTTTGTCCTTAAAAATCTATAAGTTTCTTTTTACCTTTGAAGAGATTTAGGAAGGAAGGAAGGAAGGAAATAAGTAAGGAAAGAAAAAAGGGAGAGAAGGATAAAGGAAGGGAGGAAGTGTTTTATATGCGTAGAGGGCAGGGAAGAATGGTGGTGGGATGGGATCCTGGATTTAATTTGGGCCGTAGTAAAACAGCCAAAGTCACGTTGCACTCTTGAGCAAAAGGCCCTTGTGATTGTCCTGGTGGACTGTTGGGAATTCAAGCTTGCTTTCTGACTCCATGTATGACTAAAGGTGCCAGATCTTACAACTGGCTCTCAGAGGTTGTCCCTGGGAAGTTCTTTTGCACCTGATCAGACCACAAATCAAGAAACATAATAAGAGGGTTTTGTTCTTGTTGTTGCTGTTGTTATTTTAAAATCTATTTCTGATATAGAAAGATAACCTTTAGGAAGACATACCTCACCACATTAATACATTTTGAATTATTAACTAGAGTGGCATTTCCCAGAAGTCAAACTTGCTTTATGATTTGTAATGGAAGTTTTGAAAAGCTGTAGACCAAAATAACCAAGAACAATTTTCCTGTCCCTAAAAGGAGCAGGAACAGAATAGTATTTTATTCAGTCATGGATGAAAATATCATTGTGTTCTCACAGTGATACATTCACGGCTGCTTGGAAGCAAATCCTCTAGAGAATGAAGCAAGTCAACCACACAATGTTCTCAACCTCTATTCTAAACAGGGATCTTGGATTCAAATGCTAAAAAGAGGATGGGGGATGTGATGAGGGAAATCAATTCCTATGGGACAATCATGTAATTCAGAAAAAATGGTATAAGTCTAAAGATCACTGATACCTTAGACTCGATGTTTTCCTTTAGTTTGCACAGACTCAGCTCCAGCAAGAAACAGGATTGACATCTTTGGCATGGGACACCTCTCTTGTTTCCAAGGGAATTTGGAGCTTTGCTATTGGATCTTCCCCTCTTTCCTTCATTTTCTCCCTAGTCTTTTTCCTTTTAAAGAGTTGAATAAATCTCTATGGGGAAGAGAGTTGAATAAATCTCTCTAGCAGACCAGAATTCCCAGCATCTCTCTATGTAAGAACCCAGACATACTCTCCTCTGGGAAAAATATGCTTGGGCTTATATTCCTAGTCCTTCTGCATGCTCTTGGATTTTAGTCTCCACCAACTAGTTCTCAGCTCCCACCTTAATGGTACTTTCCTCACTGAATCTTTTTTTTTTTTTTGACCTCCCAGCTCTATCTCCACATCTTAAGAACACTCTCAATTAAAAGCAAGAGATACTTAGGCTGTGCCAGACTCACATTCAAGGTGCACCAAAGCAAAAAATCTCCTGGGTTTATCCTAATATCCTGATTATGACAAGTGAGTTCTTATCTTGTCCCCAGGTGAAAATTCCCTTTGAGTGAATTTCTGAGCTTCTGCCCTACTTCCTCATTCTGTTCTAGCAAGTATCTTAGAATTTTCCTAACCCAGCACACCTGGGAATGCCAGGAGCAAATTTAGTGTCTGACACAAGTGGGCTTATTACCTAATGCAATGAAGGAGATTGTTCAACAGAGTGGGTCATCTCAGCAAAAGAAAAGACAAAGGATTGGAGGAGAGGGTAGAAATTAGATGATAATTAAACAAAACAGTATTCGAGAGGGTCAAAGCAAAGCAGGGATGCAGGTAAAGACAGCAACATTGGATATGGACTGTAAGTTGACCCAGGCTCCCATTTCTTTGGAAAGTGCAAAGTTAGGATGAATGTGGACTGTTGAGTCCAGTTACCACTTACCTGAACTTCTTCACCTGGATTTTGAATTGAGGCTGTTTTTCTGTGTCAAAGTGACTTAGAGCCTCCAGGCAAGAGTGGAGGGCTTTATTCTTGCTGACATAATCTTCAACAGCAAAGTCCCCAATAATATTTGATTTTAGAGAATGAAGTGTCTCAGTGATTAATAAAACAAGAATTACTCAAAGATGGGACTTATTATGACAATTCCAGCTTCAGCATCCTTGAGAGATATGTTGTTTCCTATGAAAATGGCATCTGGCTCAATCTATGACTATTTTTCCAGTCTGATGAACGGTGGGCAGATTCTTACTCACTTGGTCTCAGCTGGTTCTCCGGAGGTATGTATCTGCTAAAACCAAGACTGCTTATCTTGCTAGTCTTTTTCCCAGATTCAAGCAGAACTCCCAGATGCCTGCCTGTTCTTTTAATATCACCCCTTCTAGATCACTACCTGTAGGACTTTGCATCACTCCCATTATTTCTGTTTCTCTTTTGCTGAATACTGTCTGTGCCCTAATCACATATTGCCACTTTGTCTACATCCTGTGTTTTGCGCACAGATTGCCCTGGTTAAAATTTGCAGCATGGAATAAGTTCTCTACTTTCCTCCCTCACCTGCTTCCTGTAGACAGGGAGATCATATTTTATGCCCCTTCTCTCTATCCTGTACATTCACCATAATTGGTCAAGTTCTGAGATTTAATAATTCTCATCCTTATACCAAACTCCAGTCCTTTACTACAACTCAGGTACTCGTGTACCAACTTGGTAGGTATTTTCTCAGGAGTGTCTATGATTCTGGTTTTTGGAGTTCAATTCTTAATTTTGACCTACTTCTCTTTACCTTTTTGATTTATCGAAAAAGGATAGTTGAAAGAGTCTGAGGTTTGACATGTAGACCAACAAAAGACACAGAGACAAACCCCACATAAATACAGCTATCTCATACTAGATAAAGGTGCCAAAAACATTTACTGGAGAAAAGATAGCCTCTTCAACAAATGGTGCTGGGAAAAATGAAAATTCATATGTAGCAAAATGAAATTAAACCTCTATCTCTCACCCTACACAAAAATCAACTCAAAGTGGATCAAAGAATTAGGCACTAGAACAGAGACCCTGTGCCTAATAATAACCCAATCAAAAAACGGGCTAAGGAATTGAACAGATACTTCACAGAAGAAGAAATATAAAATTGGTCTCAAGCATTTTGGATAAGGAATATTCAACCTGTACCTACATTGGTGCTAATTAACAAGTCCAGAAGAAGAGAAATAGTGTTTCTAACTTTTATAGTGACTGGACATTGCTATGGAATCCAAGTGTGATCATTTTTCTAGTAACTCTTTTTCATTGTATTTTAGAAAAGTATCAATCCATGATAGATTTTAAATAAGAAAGATACATCTGTTTTTTTCACCATAGGTTATTTGACAGTCTTCTAGCTATCAGATAAGTGTCAACAGTCATTTAAATTATCTTCAAATATGTTGGTAGAAGGAATAAAATCTCAAGTATGTATCAGAGCCATCTAAATGAGGAGCTAAAATAAATTCATATCCCATGTGCCAGAAATCTTAGACATTGCTCCCCGTTGAGACTCATGTGACCAACTCACCTGACATCTGCTAAAATGAGATCACTGTGCTGCTGGTGGGAAAGGAGATGAATGAAAACCTTAAAAATTAGGGATAGCTTTTTTGAAATCCAGACTCATAACGAATAATTGCAGTCTCCTTTCAAGAAAGAATTAACTAGCAGAGTGTTTTCTACCAAGCCCATGCAGCCAATTCTTGGGCAGGAGAAGGGAGGAGACACAATCATTAGTCTTTTTTTCTCTCTCTCTCTGTTTTTGATTTATTGGTATATTGACCTACAGCTAATTTGTCCTGCTCTCAAGTGTGACTAGGCTGACTTCTACCAGTAGAAATAAAGGAAAATAAAAATTACCTTGTGTATTTTTAGAACTTGACTTCTACCAGTAGAAATAAAGGAAAATAAAAATTACCCTGTGTATTTTTAGAACTGCTGACATTGTGAAGG